TAAGCCCGACTTCCCCCCAGAGACCCGGCACCTGACTACAGCTATTTTGAGCGGATGAAAGTAAGGTTTGAGGGTTTAGGAGTCAGGGGTTTAGGGGTTTAGGGGTTAGGGGTTTAGGGTTTAGGGGTCTAGGGGTTCAGGGTTTAGGGTTTAGGGTTTAGGGATTTAGGGTTTAGGGGTTTCGGGTTTAGGGCGTAGGGTTTCGGGTTTAGGGGGGTAGACATGATTTTTTCAGCATCTTAGAGCCCTCCTTGTCGGCAGATCAGACCAGGTTGTGTGCGAGGGTTCAGGGTACGCTCCCCGGTCTTGATTCACGGCCGCACGACGCCACGGCCCATTTTCAGCTCATGCTTGAATCCTCCGTCCTCAGTCTTTAAAGCCCCAGCCGCAAATCTCAACCTTGGTAGGTGTCGCATCGGTACAGCGACTTCGAAGCCCTGTACAAGGCCGGAGCACAGAGTGTCGTGGAGTGTTGTTCGGGCTCATGGCGGTTCACGATTTTGGGCTTGGGGTGTTCGTTCTAGGTCTAGGCTTTTGGGATTAGGATTTGCCGACTTGTCACCATGCAGCTCCCAAGACGTGGATCGGCCTGGTGTGGTCTCTAGCAACTGTGCGAGCTTGCTTCATCAGCGTAGCTACGGCTTTGATGTCCCGAACCCCCATCACAAAATCCCTAAACCCCAACCCCGTTAATGGTAAATGGTTTCTAGGTTGTCATACTTCGATACCGACTTCCGACAGCCTACATCCTTTCCTTCTATCACAGTTCCACTCCCAAAATGGACGGGTTTAGGGTTTAGGGGTTTGGGGCCTGGGGGTATTACAATCTCTATACATTCCGGAATGTTAGCCTTGTGTTCCCCTAGGATACTGGGCAAGTAAGATATCGATGGAAGGACGCCCAAAAAGGGACCCTACTTTCGAGTTAGAGATGGGTAGTTCTCTAAATGAGGGTCCCTTTTTAGGTTTCAAACATAGTACGGCACCCTTATAAAAACCCTAAACCCTAAACCCTAAACCCTAAACCCTAAACCCTAAACCCTAAACCCTAACTTAGAGAACTACCCAGACGGAAGGCGCTTCTTCTGGATCTTCCGGGGCTTCAGCTGCCGCCGATGCCGCCAAAGGCGCCCTAGGGTTTAGGGTTTAGGGTTTAGGGTTTAGGGCTTAGGGCTTAGGGTTTAGGGTTTAGGGTGCATGCCTGCTATGCAAGCTGCCAAGGGCTTGGGGCTTTGAGGGAGTTGAAATTTGATGGGTTGAATCTTTCTGTTCTGCAAGTATCCTAGGTTCCCGAGTAGTACCCCTTTTGCCCTTTTTATTCTATGGTCCCCTCAGAAAAACTGAATAACCGGAAAAAGGGTACCCTTATTATTAAGGTGTCATTCAGGACCCAAGTATCCAACAGGCATGCCTTTGGATGTCGCAGTCGCATATCAGCGGTTCTCTTGGCGGACAGACGGTTTGTTCTTCAGTTTTGCCCCGCCGTGCCATTAGGAATTCTTCGGGATTTGGGGTCTTCAGGGCATAAGGTTGAGAGTTGAGGGTTCTGCCCAGAGAACCCAATACCCCTTAATTAAGGAAGATACCTTAGATCTTAATATTAAGGACCGTATAGTTTAAGTTATATTCCTTATTTAAGGGGTATTGGGTTCTCTGGGTGTAAGGCGTTTAGGAGAGTTTTGGGTTGCAGCAGAGTCAAAAATGCTTCGAGTACATTTGCAAGTATGGGAAAGAGGGAGCCCAGCTGTGCCTCGATTGTTCGCGCTTCTATAGGGGCCTGAATAATTACCTCTATGATTTTGGGGGTTCCTTACTACAATTATACTATGAAGGAGCCCAAAACCCTATTCTAATTATGAATGCCCCTACATTGGTGGCCAGTGGGCGCTGGTGTTGTTTATGGCGAACCTGAGACAACCCTCGGGCTCCCCGGTCTAAGGTTCATGGTGTAGGATTTAGGGTATGACTACCCTAAACCATAGTTTAGGGTTTAGGATTTAGGATTTAGGGTATACCCTAAACCATAGTTTAGGGTATAGGGTTGAGGTTATGGGTTACTTGCTTTACATTTTGTGTGTTCAGTAACCTGCTAGGTAGCTGGTACTGGGAGCATAGGGCACCTTGAGCCCAGGGCCCGAAGCAACGAACCTTTGTTGCAACATTAGTACTCGAAACCCTGCACCCTTCATCCATAGATCGCGAATCTTAACTTTGTCATAGTTGGGTAACAATTTACATTTTTAAGGGTACTTAAACCCAATAAGGAATATAAAGGTAAACTTTTTAATACTAGCCCAACCATGAACTAGGTTCAGGCGTTCGAGCTT